CTGCTAGCGCCCCCACCCTAGGTCTTCGTTTTATAGACACCTATGGGTGTCTAAAAAACACCCCTAAGTCTTCGTTTTATAGACACCCTATATTGGTGTCTACAAAACGAAGACTGAAGACCCGAAAAACGAAGACAATTATCATTATTAATTATTATTTTTTGATATTCCTCATTTTATTCCGATGCAATAATGAATTAGGTATTTGGCAACTGTTTTATGATGATTTTAAAACACTTTCAATAAGATAATTGAGAAATAATTCGAGGTCTTCGTTTTTCCGGGTCTTCGGTCTTCGTTTTGTAGACACCCATATATGTTGTTTATAAAAGGAAGACCCTTGAAAATTTCACAAACAAACAAACGCCCAAAAAATTACTTAGGCCTAATTTTGATTTTGTGACAACCTGGTGATTATCATCAAAATAAGAGAGAAAAAATAGGGTCTTCGTTTTTGGGTCTTCGGCCTTCGTTTTTATAGACACCCCGAATTACTCGGCAGAGTTTGGCAGGGTGGCGCCAAGATTTGCCCGACGGGGGGGGGGGGCGCCCCGACGAGGGGGCCGATGCCCCAGACGAGGTGTCACATTTCCCCAACGAAAGCAATGTGGGTGTGGTCGAGCTTCGATTAAAATGTTTCGAAAGTGGTCCCGAGGGGGTGAAGCCCCGAAAATTTTAACAATTTAGGGGTTTCAAGGGCTTATATAATATATAATATATTTAATATACTAATATGTAGAAAATACATATAATTTTTTTTATCCCCGACGAATTGTGCTTTTTCTCCCCGACGGGGGGGGGGAGAGGGGGTATGTGGCCGCTGGAGTTTTGTTAAAGGACCTGGTTATATGTCAAAAAAAAAACCAAAAAAAAAAAAAATCTGGGGGCCCTTGAGGCTCCGCGGGGCCCCTGTAGTTAGCTAGTGAGAGCTCATAACCGTTACGCCAGTGTTAATTGGTTTTTATAGCAAACCCCTCTGATTAACTAAATCACCCACAGATGAGCCGTACTGCGGACACGAAGTACTTTACAGACTACAGTATGTTTTATTGACAAGACACTAGCTTTCATGCACACAATGCACTTCTTCAGGTGAATACATAAAGAACTCCTATGTACAAATTTATCAATGTATAGACTGGGTGAATAGACCTAAGCAGTGGCGTAACTAGAAGTCTTGA